ATATATATATATATATTCATGTGTATAGCTTGCATATGCACATACCCATACATTTACGTATATATTCGTATGCACGCAGGCATTTGTGTTTGTATATATATCTTTGTATATATACATATATATATATATATAATATATATATATATATATATGCGTATAGATAAATGTATGCCTTGAATGCGGTGAGATCTCTTCTTATAAACTCCACCTAATATCTGCATGTATATATATATTATTTGTTTTATTTGCTTTGTTTTATATATTTTCATTTATGTTTAATATCTGTTTTTATTTGTTGTTTGTGCGGTTGTAGTGATTATTTTTTAAATCTTTTTTCTTGCTTTGTCTATTTTGCATGCATTTGAGGGCTTTCGCTTCTTTTGTAATTTTTAATTCTATTTTAATGCAGACACCGAAGCACAAAGTATTAAGGATGTTACAGAAGCAAATGTCCTTCTCGTGTATAGACGCCCAGGAGAGATGTCTCCAGGGGCCCCGCAGTTATCGCAAGGCTTAAAACCATTCGCTCCTGGGGAGGAGGTAATTCATTTCTTTTATTTATTTATTTATTTATTTATTCTTTAGTTTATTTATTCTTTTGCTTATTTCTTTATATATGTATATGCATATATCTTTATATATGTGCATGTATATTTTAGTTATTTATTCATTTGCCTTTTTAATTTTATCTATTTAATTCATTTATTTATTTAGTTTATTTTATTTATTTTATTTTTGTTTTTGTGCAGTTGCGAGCGAAGACAGAGCGGAAAGTGACGACCATTTTTGTTTGGTTTTTGCCGTCGCGCATTGTGGAGGTAAATTAAGTAAATTAAATTAGTTAAATAAGTTATATTAAATAAATTAAACAAATTAAGTAATAAATTAAATTCATTAAATTAATTAGAAATAATAAATAAAACAAATTAAAACAGATAAACACATAGGATGGATGAAATATAAGAACAGATTTAATTAAATGAATTAAATGAATCAATAAACGGAAGTGTTAGGTAGATAAACCATTGCAACAAATAAATGCGTTAACTAACTAACTAAATAAATAAATAATAGAGCGAAGCATATGAAAAATCAATTAAAAAATAATAAACAGATAAAATAAATTAATACACAAATAAAGAAGAATATGAATTGAGAAGCACATCAAAAAATAATAAAAAGTTGTGCAAATAAATGATTAAAAGACAAGGAAAAGCACTTCATTTCCCTTCTTCTTGTCATCACCTTTACAGTGTATGTACACCTTTCTTTTTCGTTTTTGTTTGTTTGTTTGTTTGTTAGGAACTAGAGGGAGTAAACAAAGACAAACATAATTCTGCTCAGAGTTCGGGTATAGACGCCGCCTCCTCTCCAACAGGTGCAGCAGATGTTGATGAATTGCCTGCAGCAAGCAGCAGCAGCAGCAGCGGGAGAAGCAGCAGCAGCAGCAGCAGCGGGAGAAGCAGGAGCCGCAGCAGCAGACATTCATCAGGGGGGGGAGTTAATACACCAAATGGGTCTCAGCAATTAAAAGAAGCAGATAAAAACCAGCAAAGACCTGCAGCAGCAACGGAAGCAACAGCTAAGAAAAGAAGAGTAAAACTTCTTTCTCTTCTTCTTGTCTCTTTTTATGTTTATTTAAATCTTATGGATTATCATTATGACGCACTCCACATAAACTGCTGTTGCTGCTGTTCCTGCTGCTGCTGCTGTTCCTGCTGCTGCTGCTGTTCCTGCTGCTGCTGCTGTTGCTGCGGCTGCTGCTGCAGCTGCTACTACGGATGCTGCTGGGCAGACTTGTTTGCATTTGTTGTATTTATGGTATTGCTTATCTTATCTTCTTTAATTTGCTTTTCAGTTTGCTGCTGTCTTTGTTTTTATTCTTTATTTGTGTCTTTGTTTTTTCTTCTTGTTTGTTTGTTTTATTTGTCTTTCGTTCTGTCTTCTTTTGCTGTTTCTTTATTTTGTTGATTATTTCTTGCTCTTTCTCTTTTTTATTTATCTTTTTTTGAATTTATTTTCTTTTTTTCTGTCTTTGTTTGCTTCAGTCTGTTGGATTGCCGTTGAGTCTCGCTGCTACAAATTCTTTTGTTGTCTTCGTCGCCCCTCTAGTCAAATACCAGAACGGTAACACACTACAGCAGCAGCAACAGCAGCAGCAACAGCAGCAGCAGCAGTACTGTAGTAGTAGTGGGAGGAGTAGGAATAGTACGAGCAGCGCTAGCAGCAGCAGCAGCAAGATTAGCAGCAGCACTAACAGCAGCAGCAGCAGCATCAGCATCAGCATCAGCAACAGCAGAAAGGACATTGTGTTTTATTGCATGTATAGGGCCCCCTAATATCTTTGCTGAGATAATTTGATGTTTGTTTGTTCATTTGATTGCATTTCTTACCATCACCCCCCCAATTTACTTATTCAGTTTAATTAATGAATGAATTAATGTAATTGATTTATTAATTTTGTTTTCTTTTTTTGTTTTTTTTATAGAGACGCGAGTGCATGGTGCATGGATGCCAATCCTGCGAGTTATTTCTCCTTCAACAACCTGCGCAGATTTATATGCAGCTGTTGAAGCTGCTTTCTTCTGCAACACGAACAGCAGCAACAGCAGCAACAGCAGCAACAGCAGCACCAGAGGCAGCAGCAGCAGCAGCAGCAGTAGTAGTAGTAGTAGTTCTGGGGCTGATGAACAGGAAGATGGTTGTGGAATAGGGGGTTCATCTATAGGGGGCCCCTTAGGGGCCCCTATGGGGGCCTCATATGTAGGGGGGGGCCCCCAGGGGGGCCCCCATGGACTTCTTGGGGGCCCCCATAGTGGGTCCGATGGGGGGCCCCCTGGGGGCCCCTTCGGTGGAGAAGCGCAGCGATCGAAGATATCAGGTGTATTTACACAAGCTGTCGAAGCAATTAATAAAACATTTGGGCCTCATGAAGGCAGCAGCAGCAGCAGGAAATGGAAGTTGCAGGTGGTGAGTATATATAGTATAGATAAGAATAAATATGTTTATGTTTATTTATTTGTTTATTTATTTCTTTGTTTGTTTGTTTGTTTGCTTGCTTGCTTAGTTGTGTTTGTGTTATGAAGCATGCGCTTTCTTTTTTAGTGTGGATAGGAATAAATATATTATTTGTTTATTTCTTGAAATCTATCATTCTTTTTTAGTGTGGGTAAGATTATCTTTATTTATTTATTTAATTTAATTGATTTATTTAGTTAAATACATCTTTTCTTTTCAGTGGGGTTCTTGCAAATGCCGATGTACAGCTTTGTTAGTAATTTTGTTTTCTTAAGGATTCCTTTTAACTGCTTTTTCTTCTTGTATGCATGCATGCATGCATGCATGCAAGATTGTTTATATGGATATAATAATTAAAGGATATAATATATATAATGATTTATAGATGTTAGAATGCATAGAATGATTGAGGGACCCAATTGTTTAAAGTTATAATGAATAAATTATATAATGCAAATAATTTCTTTAGGTTGTTTGAATGCATATAATGACTAAATTATATAATGCATATAATGATTAAAGATTATTTAATTGGGTATAAAATGAATAAAAGGATATAATGAGTTATATTAATAGAGTATTTAGTAATATTTCTTAAATTATTTTCATACGTATATATATATATATATACATATATATATATATATATATTTATATATGCATGCATATATACATATGTATGTAAATAAAGTTAGATAGATTATTATATACTCTAATAAATACTCTATTATTAAATAAATAATAACATTTCTTAATTATTATTTATTTTCAGGCGTACCCGTTTGCTGCTGAAGACAGCGAACGAAGTGTATTAAGCCAAGGCGTTGCATTTTTAAGAGAAAAGTTAGGGGGGCAGCTGAGGCAATTGCCAGCAGATAGCAAACCGCTTTCTCAGTTTGTTAAGCCTCTTAAACACCAAATGGTATGCTTCATGCTTCTTCCTGCTGCTGCTGATGCTGGTCCTGATGCTGCTGATTGTGCTGCTGCTGTTGGTGCTGCTGATGATGCTGCTCATGCTGCTGCTGCTGCTGCTGATTGTGCTGCTGTTGCTACTGATGCTGATGGTGCTGCTACTGATGCTGATGGTGCTGCTGCTGCTGCTGATTGTGCTGCTTCTGATAGCGCTGCTGCTACCGCTGCTGTTGCTGCTCCTACTACTGTTGTTGCTGTGTATGTATATACACCGCATTGTTTGCATTTCTTTTTTGCTGCTGCAGATGGCGTTGGTTTATTTGGATATCTCTGGCCTTGATCAGCTACCAGGAATGATCAGCAGCAGCAGCAGCAGCAGCAGCAGCAGCGAGCAGCAAGGGACCCTTGTTAATGGAATTGTTTCTTTGGGTTCATTGCGTCAATCTCCTCGTCTTCATATCTCTGATTGTCTGCAACTTTTCGCAGAAAAAGAAATCCTTGACCAGGATAATATGTGGTGCGGCCTCTCTTCATTCAGACCTATATACATTTGCATATACATCTACATGCATGCATGCATGCATGCATGCACTATATACATATGCATATACATGTGCATGCATGCATGCATGCATGCAATATATTATATATATACATTTGCATGCACCATATACACTTACATTTGCATGCACTATATACATACGAATGCATGCATGCATCAATGCATGCATTATATGCAAATACATGTGCGCGCATACAATAAATACATACATATCTATATCTATATCTCTATATATATATAATGCGTAGAAGATATACAAATAAATAAATGTATGTTCGTTTATTCGCGGGTGCATGCGTTGATTTCAGTGTGTATTGATAGATAGGAATAGCTATAAATAAATCAGAATAATCAAACTAATTCATTGATTTATATTTATTAATTAATCTATTTATATATATATATTTAATTTATTTAATTTATTTGATTTATTTATTTAGTTTATTTATAATTTAATTAATTTTTGGTTATCGCTGTGTGGTTTATTAATCTTTTTATACGTAATTCATTTAATTATTCAATTTAACTAATTAATTAATCAATCAGTTTATTTATTTATTTATTTATTTAATTTATTTATTTATTTTAGGTATTGTAGTACTTGCCGCACTCACGTCCAAGCACAGAAGAAGTTGGATCTGTGGAGAATGCCTCGGGTGTTGGTTTTGCACTTAAAGCGTTTTCATAACTTAAGGTCAGTCTTTATTATAATAAAATACTTTATTTTATCTATTTTATCATCTTAATTTATTCTTAAAACACTTCATTATGTATATATATATATGCATATGGTTAAAAGATTATATATATATTATTTAAATAGTTTGAGTGTTGTGCGTACAGCCGCTGGAGCCGCTCGAAGATCAACACCCGCGTTTGCTTTCCTTATAAAAGTATGTCTCACAACAAATATATTTATTTAAATAATATATATATATATATAACATTAATTAATTCATTAACAGACATGCAATTAGTACACTTCAACGGCAATAAATAAATACAATAAACATATGCACGTAAAGGATATATTATATATATATTTTATATATATAATAAAATAAAGACGCATGAAGCAAATTAATGCAATAAACAAACTCGCCATCATACACCTAATAAATATATTTAATAATAAACAAATTCGTAGACATCCTTCAGAATGTGCAGTATTTTGTATTACATTTTCTTTCGCTGCTTTATGCATGCTTTTTGTGTGTATTTACACGATAAATTGATTATTTACATTCATTTTATTATAAATCTATTTTAATCTATTTGTTTTTCTTTTGCTGCAGCTGGAGAGTATCTAGACATGAGTCAGTTTATTCTACCAGGCGGCCTGCAGCAGCTACGCGAGGAAGACGTACGCTCAGCAGCAACTTTATTATTCATTTTATATAGTATTTCATTCATATATAATATTATATATTTATGTATTTATATATAATATTATATATAATATATTTGATGTTAGTATGTATATATATATATATATATAATACGCGTATTTGTTGGTGAGCTAACAGGGATATTAAAGCCAATGACGGCCTCTCAGCCAAACAGACACTGCAATGTGTGCTATATATATATATATATATTTATATATATATATATCTATCAATGCATGTACATATACATTTTTATACTTATATATACATGTCTATTATATATATATATATATATATATATATACATATCTATATGTGCACATATTTATTTGGGTACGGAGTCTTTGCGTTATCTGTATTCTGGCGTGCTGGTTTTGTTTCTGTTTTCTTTTAATTGTTTTTTTGCATTGTTAATTGGGGTGTACGTACAGCCTTCATTTACACCGGAGTACGAACTTATTGCAGTCAACGTGCATTCTGGAGAACTCGGCGGGGGCCATTACTACGCATACACCAAAATCAGAGGACAGTGGTATGCATGCATGCTTGCATCCAAATAGTATAATATGCATGCATGCGAATATGCATGCATGCATGCATTAGATTAGGCAGCAGCCAGTTTATTTAACAAAATGTAAACTGTAACAGGGTTTTGTTAGGTTGCTGCTGTTGTTGCTGCCGTTGCTGTTGCTGCTGCTGCATTTTGGTTTGTTGTCTCTGTGCGTACACCTGGCGGCTGCAGCGGGGCCACCTGCACGGAGAAAAATAAATTTAATTAATTTCACGAGCAGAGAACACACTGTTAATTTGCTGGCAATCCAACTTAATGAAGACCCCTTGTTTTGTTGTTTTGTTTCGTTTATTTATTTATTTATGTTGATATATATTTAATTTATCTTTTTTCCTTTTGTTTGGGTTTGCTTGGGTTTGTTTGCTTAGGTACGAATTCAATGATTCGTGTGTAACTGCAGTTCCCGAAGGTAAGAATACCCTTTCATCTCTCTGATGCTGCAGCAGCAACAGCAGCAGCAGCAGCAGCAACAGCAGCAGCATTCGCAGCAGCACTACCTGAAACACGAACGTGTGTAGAAAGAGCAGCAGCCGCAGCTTCTGCTACAGCTGCGCGCGTGCCAGCATCACATGAAGCATCAACAGCAAGAACAGCAGCAACAGCAGCAGCAGCAGCAGCAGCAGCATGAGATGGGGTGTATATTTGTCGTTTGTTTGTTTGCTGCAGACAAGTGCCACTCAGCTGACGCATATATGTTAACCTATGAACTTCGCTCCAGCCGAGAGGAATCACAGCGGCGATTAGCGGCAGTACAGGTCCCGGGCAGAGCTGCTGCTGCTGCTGCTGCTGGCGCACAGCAGCAGCAACAGCAGCAACAGCAGCAGCAACAGCAGCAGCATCCCCCTGTACGCTCGTGGGTGATGTAGGAAGCTTTGCAGCCTCATTAGGTTTGTTTTGTTTTGTTTTGTTTTGTTTTGAGTTAAAAGAGCAGCAACACCAGCAGCACAGCAGCTGATGCGCTCAGGTGTCTGTACACCACAAACTCAAAACACTCCGCAGCAGCAAGCGGAGAGCAAACCCTCAATTTTTAAAACCTTTTATAGAATGGTGTGTCGGTTGATTTGTATTTCATTACTTGCATTTATCTGCATTTAACTGCTTTATCTGTATATTCTTCTGATTAGCGGATTTGCATGCATGCACTTGTCTGATTATTTTTGTCTATTTTCTGTAATTCTTCTTTTTCTGTTTGTTTTATGTGCATCGACTTGTTTGGATCTATTTGTTTGTAGTTATTCATTCTGATTTATTTGTTTTAGTTTATTTATAAGAATATTTATACAAATAAATAAATAAAAACAAATAGACTACAATAAATAAATAAATAGAAACAAATAAACTTAAACAAATCGAATAATAGATAAATAAATGCAAGAGGATTTGTAAGAGGGCCCTCATGGGCAGTCAGAGGAGTTTGCCTCTGTCTGTTTGTTTATATATGTTTTGCTGTAATTCATGTTTGTTTATGAATGTATATTTCGCTTTAATTTTTTTTGTTTATTTAGTTGCTGCTGTTGCTGTTTATATACTTCTAAAGTTCGAGGGAAGCTGCGTGCATTTGTATTTGCTGTTCTTTTTGTCTTTGCTGCTGCTGCTGTTGCTGCTGCTGCTGCTGCTGCTGCTGTTTGTGTTTAAAAGAGAAAGAACGTAGATATCCTTTGCTCTTCACAGATACAACTCCGTTTGCTTCTGCTCCTTTAAATACTTCCTGCGGGCCCTCAGCCCTCAATTCTGCTTGACCCCCTTGGCTTGTCTGCATGCAGTAAATTTATTAGAAAGAAATATATCGAAGTAAAAAACATTTCAATATAATTCAATTCCATACATATTCAGTAAATAAAAATAAAATAACTTCCTTAAAATCATTAAGTTTATTCAATTCAAATAATTAAACAGACGATAAAAATTATTTAGTTAAAATAATTTAATTAGAACAATTAAATAAATTAAATATTTAATTGTGTAATAATGAATAGATCGAAATCATTCAATAGCAAAATTAAATTAAATTGATTTAATTCAATTAACTAAAATATTTAATTAGATATAATTAATTAAATAGTAATTAATGAAATTGAATTAATTAATTATTAACAGACTGAATTAATTATTTCTTAATAAAGAGAAGTTGTTAGAAACTCACCAAGGCCCCTGCATGCACAGCAGCGCGACAGACGGAAGAGAGGGGGCTGTAAACACCTGAAGAATTTTTTAAATGTATTTGTTTATCGCTGGCTTTTAATTTATTTTTTTAATTTCATTTGCTCCAATTCATTTACTGCTGACATAACACCGAATATATGTAATATAATATATAATATAGTAATATAATATAAAAAATATAATATAATATAATAAACAGAGAAACCGGCATTTTAATGCATGCGGCTGACATAAAAAGAGAAGAAAAAATAGAGATGAGGACAATGATACTCAAATGCATGCAGTTCATATGAAAGAGAAGAAAAGAGAATTAAAGTAATTAAAAGAGACAGCACTTGAATGCATGCATGCATGCATTTGAAATAGAAGAAAAGAAGAAGAAAATAAAATAATTTTAACTGGGTTTCCATCACTATTTACCTGTGCCGTAGACAACGGCCTCGGATGCGGCGAGACAGCCTGAAAAAACAAATAAATTAAAATAATGGATGCAAAATTAAAATAAAATAAAAATAAAAAGAATTCTCTACTAATTTTGTTGAAATCCTGAAAAAATAAGATACACCCAAGTGGATTTAAAATATTAGAGAAGCAAAGAAAGACAGAAACAGAAACAGACAGAAAGAGAGAAGGTATATACATATACGCATATATATATATATATATGTACACTATATATAAATGCATATATATATATATAGGAAGGACAAAGAAAAGAAGGCAAAGAGAGAAAGAAAGACAAAGCCAGAGACACATACAAAGAAAGAGAGACAGAGAAAGGAAAGAAAGAGATTAAAAAAACAAAAAGAAACAAAGAGAAACAAAAAGAAAGAGAGTAGCAGCGGCACTCATTACCAAGTGGGCATGATATCATCATCAAATCCCCCGTCTTCATTTGCATTACAAAAGATCCATCACCTGAACAAACAACAAAAATACAAAAAGAATGAAACGCATGCATGCATGCATGCATGCATGCAAGATAAGCATTATTAGGGTTTTGTTCGTTTGTTTGTTTGTTTGCTTGTTTGTTCGTTCGTTTGTTTGTTTGTTTGTTTGTTTGTTTGTTTGTTTGTTTGTTTGTTTGTTTGTTTGTTTGTTTTTTTTCTTCTTTCTTACTGTAGCAACTCAGCTGTTTAAAGGGAGGAGCAGGAAGAACAGAGAAAGACCGAATCTGAGGCTGCAGCTCCGCACTGCTAATTACGCCTGAGGTGTACAACCAGCGTAATAATATTCAAGCTGCTTTAAGTTTTTGCTAATAACATTGCTATTATTATTATTGTTATTGTTATTGTTGTTATTATTATTATCGGCGGCAGTGAAACAGGGTGAGGCATTATAATTATAATTATAATTACAATTATTGCATTGATTATTATTTCATTGTTATTACTGCTATCGTTGTTGTTATGTTAAATACTAATACTAATAATAATCATAATAATTATAATAATAACGATATTCATAAGAATTATTATTATAATCGTGATAATAATTATTAAAAAACATAGTAATAATAATAATAATTATAATAATAACTATAATTTTTAATGATAATACCTTACCATGTTTCCCTGTAGCTGATGCGTAGCTGTTGAGCCCGTTGTGCAGTACGAGGAGTGCAAACCCGCCTTCGATGTTTGTTAGAGCGCCGCTGTGGAGTGCAGCGAGACAAACTGAAGAGTCTGCTGTATATACATGATTTCCTTTTAATATTATTTTCTTCGCTTTATGACAGTCGCTCGGACACAACACCAAAAAACTTTCGCCAGAAAAACCCCGAAATGCTGGAAGTAATCCGCTGTCACTGCATGCAAGTTGAATCGAACGCATTGCAACCTGCTGCTGGTGCTGCTGCTGTTGCTGCTGCTGTTGCTGCTGCTGTTGCTGCTGCTGCAGCAGGAAGGGCTCCTGAGGAGAGCAAGGAGATAGACAGACGCGGCCGTCGACTGTTCTACGCTCACCGCCAGGTGTGGGGCCTGTTGCTGTTGCTGCTGCTGCTGCTGCTGCTGCTGCTTCTGGTGGTTGAGTAGAAAGATAAAGCACTTCATCAGGAGACAAAACGTAATTAAATATCTGCAGGCTGTCTATAGACCCCACAAAATAATCCGCGTCCGCTGATGCCGCACGCCCGACCACAATATTGTTCTGAACGCAACATAAATGAAGATATTCATATGCTGAGATATATAAACAGAAGTATGTAAGAATATATTAATATCTATACATATACATGCATATATTGTATGGGCATTACATATATATTACAAAATAAATAAGTAAACATATATATATATATATATATCTACTTAGGTAGATAGATAGATATACAATATGCATATATATATACATATAATATATAAATATATATATATATATATTTATTATATATATATGACTTGCCTTGATGTTGAACTCGAACTGGGTTTTTTCTTTGGTGGTGATTTGCCCGTTGAAATAAACTGCGATTTGTTTGTCGACGGAGAAAAAAGAAACCGCCAAGTGAAACTTTTCTGAAAACGCACAACACAAATAAATAAATAAATAAATAAATAAATAAATAAATAAATAAATAAACATGAACATGCACAAAGACGCAAACAAACAAGCAAACAAACAAACACAAGCAAAACCCAACAAATAAAACAAATACGAAAAACCACATCAAACGCAAGCAAACAAATACAAACAAATACAAACAACAAATACATAAAACAAACACAGGCGAACATAACCCAGAACAGACAAACAAACACAAAAAACAGAAAGAAAGAGAAACGCCTACCATCTAACTGAGGGATAATGCCGGTGTTTATTGTGTTAGGGTTGCAATTATTCTGAAATATTATTTCTCCGTCTTCAGTTAAAGACAGAAGAAAACCCCCGCAACCAATATGCGAGATAATTGTCCGTTGTTTCTTCTCTCCCCCTGATATAGTAGAAAATATATTTTTAATTAGATTATATTGTGTGATTATTATTATAAGTGTGAGTATAAATATTATTGTTATTGTCTTATTATATAAAGATGAAGGCATTAATAACAATGGAAAATAGACAATTGTAAAAAAAGAATATATTTTATTTGAAGAAAAATATATAAAAAACCGTATACAACTAACGTCAAACAACAGAAAGCAAACAGCAGAAAACAAACAACATAACAACAAACAACAAACAACAAACAACAAACACTAAAAAAGGATGAAGCCTGACCTTTAACAGTTGCGTTAATTGCAAAAGTGAAATCTGTAAATCCATTGATGTTTTCTGATCCGGGTAATTCGCGCAAATAAACGAAGTCGCCGCTTTTTCCTCTAAATCCTAAAAATATACAAATTCAAATGCATGCAAATAGAAGAAATGCATGCAAATGATATCTGCATGCACACAAATTAAAATGAATGCAAATCAAACGAAGTGCATGCGAAAAATCAATCTTCATGCATGTCAATTAGATGAAATAATGCATGCAACTAATAATATCCGCATGCAAGTAAATTAAACTGCATGCAGATAAACTCAACTGCATGCAAACAAAACACTTTCTTTTTCTTTCACTCACCAGCAAAGTCAGGGGGTGGCGCCCATTGAAATTTCGAAGAAATTGCGGGGCTTTGAGGGTGTTGAGGGTTTGTTAGCTGCTGCATCCTAAACGGCGTTGCTAAGGAAGAAGAAAGCAATTAAATAGCATAATGCTAGATGGAAATAAATAATATAGGTATAATATAAGGCTACATAATATACTTATTTATTTATTATTATTCTTTTGTTGTTTTATGTAATATTACTCTTCAGGGATTAGTGTTGAAGAGGCAACAAACTTGAACTGGTAAATATTATGCAATCAATGGCGGCTTTGCTCAACTTGCTACAACTTAGGTGATTATACATATAATATATATATATATATATATATTTATATATATAAGTATATATCTATTTATGTATGTATAACAACAAAAACAATAATAATAATAATAACAAACCTCTTAGAGCAGACTCTCCTGCGTATTTAGCTGCTGCCTTCGCCTTCCTCTCCTTCGTCTCTTTTTCCGCTCGGGCCTCCACGTCGTTTGTAACGCGCGTTACTAAAACTGAAAAAGAAATTAAATAAAAAGAAAAAGAATGAGTAAATAAAGAAAATGCAGAAATTAAATCAAGAACGAGAAAAGAAATATAAACAAAATCTTGTAATAGAAAGAAGAAGAAAAAAGAAGAAAAATGTGAATGCAACAGATGAGTGAATGCATTTATATAGAAAATAAGAAAGAAAAGATAAAATAAGAGTACATACATATTCCTCGATATACCTATATATATTCATGTATAAATATATATATATATATATATATATATATGCGCATATATATGCATATATATATGTATATGTATATGTATATATATATGTATATGTATATATATATATATATGTATATATATATATATATATATATATATATATATATATATA